ATGAATGTATATTTTTTGTTTTGTTTTATATATGTGCATCAAATAATTTTGCTGTGTTCATTTGTGACATATAAGATGTAAATGGAGCCAGTGCATTTTCAGTTGTCCATGTTTCAGTTATATCATGTTAGGCCCAAGACTTTTTAATTGTATTTATTTAGAGATTATGCATATAGTTTATTGGTATCAAGTTGACAAAGGATGGATTGCAATCGAGTTGTGAAGTTGACTAGGTCAGGATTTCTAGTGGTTTAGCAGTTGAGATGTACTTACCCCCATGGTGATGAAGCCTAATACAGGATAGTTAAGCCTATGATAAATTGCCACAAACAGCCAATCAATTGAAAGGATGTTTCCTTGGGGGTGTGACCTGCTCCGAATATAGTACAAATGTGGGAAAGGCTCTTGCTGTTTTCTGCTGAGGGCCTGGGACTCTACAATTATAAGCTATTTGCTTGATATAAACTTTCAACTGTGTGTATCATGACAAAATATGTATAACATTAATTGTGCTCATGAGGAACCTTAACATAGACCAAGAGGCAGTCATTCAAACAGAACAAGGGGATGCCAAATGGTTTAAAATCAGGGATGGTGTTAAAGAAAAAAGTGTTTGAGGACTAAGATGTGCCTTCCCCAACCCAAGGTATTTTCAATGCATGTGAAAGTTGGACAACGAATAAGGAAGACCATAGAAGAATTGATGCATTTGAATTATGGTGTTGGTGAAGAGTTTCGAAAGTATCAAGGGCTGCCAGAAGAACAAACAAATCTGTATTGAAGAAGTATGGCCAGAATGCTCCTTAGAAGCCATGATGATGTGACTTAATCTTTCATACTATGAACAGTGTGGTAGTTAAGGTTTCATATCAATTTGACTGGGCCAGGGATCTCGGTAGTTTGGCAGTTGAGATGTAGTGATGTTATTTGATGTGATAAGCCAATAAAAGGATTAATCCCACCACCACTGTGATCTGATTTACAGGAGAGTCCCATGGTATGGCATGCAATAACTTTTATCTTACAAAAGATAAAAGAAGAGAGACTTGAGCAGAGAAGGAGGGACCTACTAAGACCAAGAAAGAAGAGCTAGGCATGAGTACATCCATTGGACAGGGGGACCCTGCACTATGAAGCTCCTGGATCCAGGGGAAGCTTGATGTCAAGATGAATGGAGATCTCCAAGGAATGTTGGACCTATAGATGCTGAAAGGAGATGAGGACCTTTCTCAGAACCAACAAAGAGCAAAGCTTCCCTAGTTGCTGGCACTCTGAATTTGAACTTCCAGCCTCCTAAACTGTGAGAGAATACATTTCTGGTTGTTAAAATCATCCACTTGTGAAATTTCTGTTACAAAAGCATTGGATAACTAAGCTAGACCTATCCTCAGGAAGGACCAATCCCTGGGTAAGGACATCATACTTGGAAAAGGGAGGATCAGGGAAAAAGAGGAAGATCCCCAGCAAAATGATTGACACTGTGCAGCAATAATAGGCTCAAACATAAAAACAATTGTGAGGATGGGGCAGGACTGGTAGTATTTTGCTCGGTTATACATAGAGTCACTATGAGTCAGAACACACTTCAATGGCAGCTAATAACAACAAGGTATTTGGCTAGAAACAATTCCAAAGCCAATTCATAGCAACCTTATAGAGCGCTTTCGAGGCTTTAAATCTTTGAGGGGGTTTAAAGCTTATCTTTCTCTCACAGAACATTGATTCTACTCTTGGAGTTGTGCAACTGTTCTTATTCTAATTTTGAGTTGTTCCTCCATTACTAACAAAAACTCAATGTCCCCCTAAGGTTCCTATCTAATCTTTCAATTTATGGTTGCCAATTTGGTTCCACATAGACAGTTCTTAAAGAGATCATACTGCTCAGGGCAGAGCTTTTTCACTAGATAAGCTAAACTATTATTCAGTTTTAAGGTGGCTTCAGGGGATATTTTTTGTTTTCAGTTTAATGATGATCTCACGGCCACAACTTCAGGAGTTCGTCTGTCCAACCTCCTTGGGTCCAGAAAGTGCTGAGTCCATGAGAATTTGAAAATCTGTTCTGCATTCCCTCTGCTTTTGATCAGAAGTATTCAATGGAATCCTAGATCAAAATGTTCAGTAACACCTGGACACCATCCAGCTGTGCTTGGATGGCAAAGTAAACATTACAAGTAGTTCTTTCAGCCATCCCTCCAACAGATAAGCTCACAAAGTCTATTCTCCTCAGGGCACTGCTAGTCTGCATCATGTAGAGAGTTACAGGTTTAATGGCTTGACGAATCATAGGGTAGAGTTTGGGTCAATGACAGCTGCTAAAAAATGCAAAGGGAAACTCTGGCAAGAGAAACCAGGAAAGGGTGCCCCTACATTTTATATAACTATTTCTTCAAATTTTAAAGTCTTTGAAACATACATCAACAAGACAGATTCCAAAATGAGAAGCTAGTTTAACTAACTGAATTGAAATTTAAGCTACCATCAACTGCAGGGAAGTCCAACTTTGCAAATGAATTTCAGCCAAGTTAACTGCCTGTTCTTGTTTATTTGTTTGTTTGTAAGTCTTTGGAGGAACACATTAGAATTTAGCATCTGAATAACATTTTATTCACCATGTTCAAGCCACAATGCAAATTGTATGACAATTAATCCTAAAATTAGAATCATTTGCCATACAATTTGCATTGTGACTTGAACATGGTGACTAAAATACTATTCAAACACCAAATTCTTAGAAGGAGCTCTGGTAGCATAGTGGTTATGAGCTGGGCTGCTAAGCTCAAGGTCAGCAGTGTGAAACTACTGGTCATTCCATGGGAGACATGTGACTTTCTGCTCTTGGAACGATTTACAGCCTCAGAAACCCTATGCAGGGGTGCTGTGAGTAGCAATTGACTCTACAGCACACCACCATCCTCCTCCTCATCGTATTCTTTAAAATACTAAACATTTTATTGTCAGTTTTAAAGTGCCTATAGGATTACTTAGGTCTAGATCCAGAAGGAAGAGTCTAGTAAAGAATTTCTATATATTCCAGTCCCAGTACCTAACTAGCAGCAACACACTAACATGGTGTAACATTCCAAAGCTGATGTCATTTATTTAGAGGTATTTCTATAGAACTTCTGAATTATTATATAAATACATTGTTTCCTAACATTCTAATGCTTTAAATTTTAATCACTAAATAATTGTTAATTAAGTAGTACTTTACACATTAACTTTCCATTAAGCAGTGCTCATGAGGAATCTGTACCTAGAACAAGAGGCAGTCGTTTGAACAGAACATGGGAACACTGGTTTAAAATTAAGAAAGGTGTGCGACAAGTTTGTATTCTTTCACCATACTTATTCAACTTGTATGCTGAGCAAATAATCCAAGAAGATGGGTTATATGAAGAAAAACGTGGCATCAGGATTGGAGAAAGCCTCATTAACCACCTGTGATATACAGATAATACAACCTTGTTTGCTCAAAGTGAAGACTTAAAACATTTACTGATGAAGATCAAAGAGCACTGCCTTCGGTATGGATTGCATCTCAACATAAAGAAAACAAAAATCCTCACCACTGGGCCAATAAACAACATTCTTATCAACGGAGAAAAGATTGAAGTTGTCAAAGACTTCTTTCTTCTTGGATCAACTATCAACACTCACAGAAGCAGCAGTCAAGAAATTCAGTGACTCATTGCATTAGGAAAATCTGCTGCACAAGACCTTTTGAAAGTGCTGAAGAGAAAAGATGTCAGCTTGAAGACTAAGGTGTGCCTGACCCAAGCCATGGTATTTTCAATAATCTCATATGCATGCAAAAGCTGGACAGTGAATAAGGAAGACCGTAGAAGAATTGGTGCTTTTGAGTTATGGTGTTGGAGGAGAATATTGAAAGTGCCATGGGCTGACAAAAGAACTAACAGATCTGTGTTGGAAGAAGTGCAGTCAGAGTGCTCCTTGGAGGCCAAGATGGCCAAATTTCATCTCTTATACTTCGGGCATATTGTCAGGAGGAACCAGTTGCTGGAGAAGGATATCATGTTTGGTAGGGTGGAAGGTCAGAGAAAAAGAGGAAGACCCCCCTCCCCCCCCAGCCAATGAAATGAATTGGCCAAGTGGCAGCATCAATGGGCTCAAGTGTGGCAATAACAGTGAGGCTGCCCCAGGATTGGGCAGTATTTTGTTCTGCTATGCATAAGCTATGAGTCAGTACCTACTCAATGGCAACTAACAACAACAACAAACAATTACATAGGGAGAAAGATGAGGCTCACTGCTCTCACAAAGTTTAATAACCACAGAAACACTACACAAGGGTCTCTAAGAGTGGAGTCCTGGTGTGGCACTGCAGGATAATGAGCTGAACCGAAAGGTCAGTTTGAACCACAAGGTCGGTGATTCAAACCCTCTAGCCACTCCTCAGAAACCCTATTTGGGGTCTTTTGCGACTCTACGGCACTTAACAACAACAACCAATTATACAACATTTGTGAAGGCAGAATATGCCCAGATATCATTGACACCTAGTGCAGTTCTTAGCATATGGTAGGTTCCTGATAGATATTTAATGAATGAATGAAAGAAGTGTGCTTACTGAAATTCATAATATCCCTTTCTCAACTGATTCTGAACAGATATCATCAAGATGAGGAGAATAGTAAAATTTGACTCATTACTTCAGGTATAAATAAGAAAAGATTTACTACAGTTCTAACAACAGTCTGCTCTTAAGTATTTAAATGATAGGTTTTAACATTTTGCTATTTTAAATAGTTTAAGGGATTTGTCAAGACTTGACTAAACCAGAAATTTTAAAGAAATTTTAAGAATAAAAAGTTAAATGATACAAAAATAAATGCTTGTTTGCATGGTAATGTGGTAACAAATAAATACTCTTTTTAAATATCAAAGAAAAAGAAAGTCTGTTAGTCAGATTGGCACCTGCAGTCAGATTCAACTTTTAAAAGGACAATAATAATTTCAGATCAAATAAATTCAGAAGTCAGTTTGAGAGAAAAGGAAAAACTTTAGTTAAAACCTTTACAATAAAATAATTATGATTATAAATCTCTTTAGTTAAATATGTACACATTACATGGTGTTTTAAAAAAGAATGGAACTGGGTAAAGTTTTCCAGGCAAATCGAATGCACAATATGCCATCTTATAGAGTACAGCGTCAGTTTTACATTCTTAAATAGTTACGTCAGACAATGGCTCGGCTTTGTGCAAAACATGATACGCAAAATTAAGAAAAGTTCTGCAAAGTTCTTTAGTTCCCCAAGGAAATTACTAAAAAAGGAAGTAGTGAAAGAAAAAAAGGTTGTACACTCAAGCTTGATTGTGTACAGAAGCTAGAATGACCATCACTAATATACCTCCCATATCTGATAAATATGTCCTTGGGTAGTTTTAGTTTGAAGTTAAAAGTTGAAGTCCTAGCAATTGTGCTTTTATGCAGCCACATGGCCAATAAGGTAGATGTTGTCATAAAGGTGCCCTACAAAATCTTCACTAATGTTTTGAGCAGCACGACGAGTGTTTCGAATAAATTCTCTTTTTGACATTTTATTCTTCACATGAGGGCTAGTGAGGTCAATGGAAAGTAGAATCAGGGAGTAGCACAGTACATAAACTGCATCTAGAAGGAAAAAGAAACACTTCAAATTATTAGTTGGTTCACAAAAAGATATTCCCAATGATATTATATTGGGCAAAAATGTTCATACTTTCAAGAGATTGTGATCAGAGCGTAACTGAACATAGGTAATCTCACCCTGCCCAGTTTGCCTGCAACTTTCCCGGTATTAGCACTACAACTTCTGTGTCCTGGGAGACGCCTCAGTTCTGGGCAAATAGGATGGATAGCCACACTAACTGAACACCAAATTCAATGCTACTCAGAATTATGAAATTCAGTATGTATTTTCTTCAGTTAAAAAGAACTTTAAAGAGTTTATATTTAAAATACATTCTATATTTTAAAAACTCAAATTGACTTTATTCTCATGTTTGCTTTCAAATATGATATTCACCTATTTATAAAATACATTCATACTATCAATATATTCATCTTTCCATTCTAAAAAATATTTTATTTACGTAGACTGCTTTTACAGAAACCTAATTTAATTAAAGTCTAATAATAAAGCATTAAATTGGTACTAGAAAATTAAATAGAGATAATTTGTAAGATTATTGAACTAATATTCTCATTTGAGAAACGTATTCTAATGGTCTATAAATTTTACATAACAAATTTAAAAGTAAATCTTTGGAGAAAAGATTGCTACATCTGAACACCATGCATCAAGATAATTTTCTTCATTACATGCACTCAAGGTAATACTGGATGCTTAACACTTCAGTAGAATCACATGTCATGATGCTTGTTACTACCTCTGACAATTACTTGATCGTTAGTTGGCTACTCTTACGTTGTTTACATTTCAGAATCCTCTAGTCTTAAGAAAGCTAAGCAAATACTTGTTGCTGTTAGGTGTTGTTGAGTCGGATGGACTCATACTGACCATGTATAGGGCTTCTGAGTGTAAATTTTTGTGGGGGTAGAAAGCCTCATCTTTCATGGAGCAGCTGGTGGGTTTGGACTGCTGACTTCGTGGTAAGCAGTTCAGTGCTTATTCTACAAGTCACCTTATGACTTGTAAAGCATTATCAATTTTTGTAATCTCTGCTTAATAAAATAAGCACAATAGCAATTCTCATAAGAAGAGGTAAGTGAAGCTATTATCAAATGGAAAATATGTAGGAGACTCAGGCTGTACACATATATACACACATACTTACACAATGACGTCTATTTTAACTAAAAACAAACTTTAATAGAAAAATTCCAGGTACTGCCTCTACAATATGTGGATTAACAGATTTAGAAATAATTTTTCAAGTTTTCCATTAAACTAGCAAAAAAATATTCAAAGTTCAAAGAATAATTTAAAAGAATTTATATAGCTAAGTCTAACTTGGAATTCTGGTATGGCACTGTGAGTTAATGTGTTGGATTGCAAGGTTGGTTTGAACCACAAGGTTAGTGGTACAAGCTCACTAGCTGCTCCTCAGAAACCCTATGCAGGGTCGCTATTAGTCAGAACCAACACGAAGACACTTAACAACAGCAACAAGTCTAACTTTCTTCCTAAACATATTTACTACATAAAAAGCAATAGCTAAGACAACTAAAAGATATTCCTTCTAAACTCATATATATGATATATTCTGCAGAATCACTGCTACAACAAAGAAACAAGTATTAATAATTATCAGAAAAAATTTTTCCTCTTAGTGAGAAATATATCTCAGATTCTACTGTTTTAACCTAGTAGAAGAGCAGAAAGTAAGTACTTCATTTACTCTGTATATGCTTACCAGGACTAAGGCCAAGCTCTCGCATTAAATCAGGGTTACAAGCACAGAATCTATGTGAGAACTTTGTTATAAGAGTTTCAAGATATTCCCCACGCTCTTCAGGGGCATGGATATGACGAAAAAATTCTCTCAGTGCATTTGGCAAGAATTGATTTCTAAAATTATGCAATGTCACAAGGTCATCCAAGACATCTCTCCTAGTAGAAAGACAAACACACACAACTTTAGTTAGAAGTTCTCTAGTTTAAAAAAAAGAGTAGTGCTAAGAAAAATCATAAATTGTCACATTTGAATGAAAATACTTGGTAAAAAAACTGAATACGAGATCAGTTAATCCTAAAATTTAAAACATTTATAACAACCTAAGTATGATCATTAAAGAAATTAAACAATTTTTAAGTCTTTCATGTATATATTATAACATGAAAGGTAAAAAGAATCATTATAAAATGAACAAATGAATTTTGCAGAATTAAAAAACAGTATCTCCAAGGGTTGTTTTGGCTAAATCCATAAAGCAACATAATTCTTTAATTAGGTATTTTTGTGCAAACAAGCTACCTTCTACATCTGTTTGTCAACTGATCTGTCCCTCCAGTAGGTATTTTCCTTAAGTGCCCCATGCCTTTTTTTTTTGTTGTTGTTGTTTAATATGCTGTTATAATCAAAACATTATACTTTTAAAAAAATTTTTTATTGTTAATTATGTGATAGTTTACATGGAAGAACATTAGTTTTACATTCATTCTATCGTATATTGTTTCATTGCCATGGTTACAGTCCCCTCCATGCATCATCAACCAACCAAAGGGTATATATACATTACAAGCCTGCACCCCGATTGTCAGCACACAGCCCCTCCCCCTCTCTGGATCTAAAGTCCCCAACTGCTCTCCACGTCATCATCTCTGCCTCAGTCTCTGGTGTCACTGCTTCTCTGGGTAGGGTCCCGCTCTCTGCTCTTCTCCCTTGATAGTCCCAGGCCAGGGACCTCTGCTCCTAGATTGAAATGTTAATCACTCCTCCTTGCTATACAACATCTACCTTTACATTTCCAACCCTCACAATCAGTCCTGATAACAATTATTCACTATTGTATCACAAGAGATCTATCTGCATTTCATTTCATCAGTCCCGCCCAGACAGATTGGATACTACTCACTAGAGATTCTACCTTCCCCCATGCCTGCTGGAGCTAGGTTTCCTCTTGAAAGATTGTAAGCCAGTCACTTCTTGCCTTTGTAACCCACCCCATCCCCCATTTTGGGTAGCCAATGTCCAAGTTGCCCATCCCTGTCCAGCTGGTAAGAAGAGAGGGCATATGCACAAGAACACCCATACGTGCAGATAACACCCACTTGACCTGGCTTCAATGACTGGATGATCAGCACTCAACCAGAAGAAAATAGAAGAGGGGGAAAAAAAAAGAGTAATCTGATACAATTTGATGAACTTGACCTATACCTATGGATGCAGTAGCTCAAAAGAGGAAACAAATCCTTACAGTAAGGATCATTCCCACCCCCTCCAAACACTAACACTATACTTTTGATTATTAAGCTTTGTATAAATAAATAACTGAAAAATAAAAAGAATTATAATGTAAGAAAATACATTTTCCAGTCATTTATTAGAATAGTATGAGATTTGTTATTTTAAATATTTCAGTGACATCACAACACAGTATTATCCAAATATTTTGATGTCCATAATGTTGTTGTTAAGTGCCATCAAATCAGTTCTGACTCAGTTCCATAGTAGCATTGCATAGGGTTTCTAAGTAGCAACTGGTGGATTTGAACCTTGCAAATAGCACTCCAGTGCTTGTCCTACAGAGCCACACCAGAACTCCCAGAATTTAAGAGTACAAAATGACTACCAAAGTAAGAAAAAATACCGGGCATCATCTCTGTCTATATAAAACACTATAAATGTCACAGATTCAGAATTCTTAAGCTCACATAGGATACTTTCGCATTGTATAAATATATGCAGATATACACATATATCACTAGGATTTGTGGATTTATGACTATAATTTGTATTATTTTGTTTTTTTATATGGGCAATTTCAGAATTCAGAACTTCTAGATATCTAAAAAACAACGGACTTTTTTCTTTTTTTAATTTAATGCTTTTATTGTGAATTGAGTGATAGTTTACATAGGAGAACACTGGTTTTGCACTCATCCTATTATATTTTGTTTCATTCCAATTATTACAATTCCCTCCATGCATCATCATTCAACAGTATTTGTTTCTATTCCCTCTGTCTTTTTGTGGGTTTTTTTGATGTACACAAAAACACAGAGGAATATATAATCATCGAAACAACCAAAGGGCACATTCTACAAGCCTGCTTCCTGGTCGCCAGCACACAGCCTTTATCTTTCCATGAGTCTAGAGTCCTCAGCTGCTCTATCTCTCCATGCTCTCATCTCTGCCTGCCTCTATCTTTGGTGTCCCTGCTTCTCTTGTTAGGGTACCATATTCAGCTTAAGCTCAACTCTCTTAGGGTCCTCAGTTCCTGTAATGTAACATTAACTACTCCCCCTTTATATTACAAAACATCTACCTTTACAGTTGTGACAATCGTAATTAGTCATGATAACAATTACTCACTATTGAATCAAAAGAATCTTAGCCCCATCTCCTTTCAACAGACCCATCAAGACAAGACAAAAATTATTCAGCAGGGATTCTACCTTACCCCGCACACTCTGAAACTAAACTCCCTCTTGAAAACTTGTAAGACAGCCACTTCATGACTTTATAGGACCCCTCCCCCAACCCATTTTAGGTAGCCAATGTCTAGGTTTCCTGTCCCTATCAACCCTGTATACAGAGGGGATAGGCTTGATCCTATATGTGAAGACTCTTTCCCTCTTGGTTGGTATTTTGAGCTACTACATCCACCAAGTATAGATCAAGTTCATCAAATTGTAGCAATTTACATTTGCTTCCTTTATCAAATTTATTTATCTTCATCTAGTTGAGTTCTGGTCATCAAGCCACTGAAGCTAAGTCAAGTGGGTACTATATGTGAGTTTGGGCATTCTTGTGCATCTCCCCTGAGTTCATATTAGCTAGATGTGTCACTCTTAGCTTTAGCCCTCCGGGACTAGGTCAATATCCATGGGCTCAGGAGTTCCCAAGTCTCCCTAAAGTTTGGAGCAACCAGCCCTGCATTTTCTCTCTCTTATCTTTAGGTCAACAGGAATCTATTGACATGGTGGAACTCAGCCCACATCTTCATTACTGACTTTCCCCCATGTCCACTCAAACGCAGACCAACACTAAAACAAATTCATTTCATAATTAATTATCATGAAAAAGTGAAGGCTGAAGTTTCCAGAAAAAATTTTTATTTTGGTTTGCTATTCCAAAGATGTTGGGCTTCCACTTTTTTATGTGTGTAGTTGTTTTTAATTTTTTAACTTTTACAACGGCAATTTCTTAATCAGAAAGCTCAAGTTCACCATAGGTAAAATAATTTTTTTATGTCTTTATTCAGTTTTGCAACTTGATGGTTAATAAACAGTATAGTTACTAAAGTAAAACTCATTAAAAAAATTACTTAAATTTCTAATGAATACTTAATTATTATTTTTTTTTACCTTTCATCAAGATAGATTCTCAGTTTTTTCCAATTTAGTGTTCTTGTACAGTAGATAAACTTTGCTATTTCCTTTGGTGAATCATCTAGGATACCCTTGGACATAAAGTAGTTCACTCCCTAAGGTAGAAAGATAAATATATATATAAATAAAATTAGTCTTTATTTATAAGCTTTAACAACTAGGCAAGAGTGGAACAATAACTATAAATTCTTCCCAGTATGAATAGACATTTTATACCTTTAACATGCAAAATACAAGCTAATAGTTGAACTTAAATTATTATATATGGCTGATATTTTACATGCAATGAAAAGTAGGAAATTCAAAGTTAAAACTCCTAAAGAAATCGTAATTCAATTCTCTGGCTCATGTCAGCTAAAACTAACTATAAAGAAACATGGCAGTGGGGGTGGAGATGAAACTATTACAAAAGCTTTAAAATAAGCCTTTTAACCAACACTTCTTCAGCCAAATAGAAAATAAAACTTCTTGAAGCTCAGATACATATTCTAGTATAGTTTTCAAGGAAATAGTTTACTGAGATAAAAAACAATTTTTAAATGAAATACCAATGTAATTTTTCTCTAAAACGAATAATAATTAAAATAGGCACATCTCTACATTGCTTTATGGGTTATACATAGTTTTGCTTTAAGCATTCCTACATTCTGTAAAAATTTAGCTATAACACACATTGAGGCATAAGACAAAACAATTCGAATGTTTTTTATAGGATTTATCTTTGAATTTCCTTTTCTCTGCATGCAAAGTTTTCCAGAGAAGCATTACCATAATTTATACCTACTTTAGAGTTAAATCAACAACAACAAAACATCAACAACAAAATCAAATGCTGAAGCCAATGTTCTCTCATATCTGTATATGGAGATCACATTCAAAAAATGCCTTATGTGGATTTGAATGTGTGATTATTGAAATAAAAGGCAGGTGTGTTTATTTCAACTAGCAGTTATCCAGATATATGCATTCCCATGAATGCTTCTGTCTGGATAATAGCATATTGTGTGCAGTTAATTACTAGAGAAAATGATGTTTATATACATGCAACATACTATTCGCACACATAAATTCCTTCCGCATTTCTTTACTTTACACTTACATAGTATTCAGAAGTACTGCACACATTAAAAATTCAAAGAGTTGGAAGAATTCTTATGAAATACTCAAGATAGCAAATTACTCAAACTATTACTTTCTCATATTAATTGCATTAGTACAAAAGCAATGCTAAGGCACTGGGGGAAAAAAGTATATAAAGAAGAGCAGAGAGTAAAAACTTGTCAACTCAATCTTAAATCATATTTGATACTGAATCCTGGATACAGGGGCTAGAACACATTACATGATCAAAATGAAAAGCCAAAAAAATTATTTGGAATGAGGCTCTCAACAATTGCTTGAGGGGGCAGGAACTAGATAGAGCAATAGTCATGCCTGTTTCCATCCTTTCCTCCGTTAGTTTGAATAACTGAGAGTTGACTGTATATTTACTTGGCTGTCCTGCTTAAAAAATGAAAACATTTCAGAAGTATTTCCAATGCTTAATTTTAATCTAAATGATTTAAAGATAAAGGAATGACAATGAAGTATTACAGATCTGTAATTCACACCTACTTGTAATAAATATGTAAAAGGTATAAAGCTAAGTTAATATACTTTAAACATGTTTTAAATAAATACTAACATGAGACATTAAATTATTATAGAATTCTCTAATTGTATGATATGTACCACTTGAGTATTATTTGATGTGACTAACTTGCCAATTAACAGTATTTATCCAGTCCTGGTGTGGTGCTGTGGGCTAATGCTTCAGACTGCAAAGTCATTTGAATTACAAGGTTGGTGGTTCAAGCTCACCAGCTGCTCCTTGGAAACCCTACACAGGGTCACTACGGGTCAAAATCGACTTGGTGGCACTTAATAACAACCACAACAACACCTCAGGTGTGGCACTCTAGGATGAGCAATTGACAGCTAACCACAAGGTCAACAGTTCAAACCTATCAGATGCACTCAGAAACCCTATACAGGGTTGCTCTGACTCAGAACTAACTGGAAGGTACTTAACAACATCTCAGGTGCATCATAGAAATATATACTGCTGACCATTTCCTTTTTCATGGAATATATGTTTTAAGAATTTAATACCTGAGCTAATTTAAGTTCTTCAAAATCAATCAGATATGGCTACTACAAGAACACGAAAGTTGTTCTCTGGAGAGCCATTAAAACAAGCAATCAAGTCCCTACAGGACAAACCCCTCTTTTATGACTAAGAGTACATAAGCAGGCATGAAAGCTTGCTGGTCACCACGTTGGCCCACTGGTGAGTGGAAGAGGGGGAAAGGTAGCAATGAAGAAATGGGCTGAGTTTGACCATGTTACACAGCCTCCTGTTGACCTGGAGATGGTAGAAAGAAGAGGAAGGGCTGGTTGGTCAGAAGAGTGGTGAGAGCTGGGGATTCCTGAACCCATGGATAAGGACTTAGCCATGGAGGGCTAGAGCTGAGAGTGAAGCATCCAGCTAGCAGATATGAAGTGAGGGGAGATTCACAAGAATGCCCAAACTTGCAGATAGTACCCATTTGATTTAGCCTCGATGGCTTGACAAACAGAATTCTACTACAGGAAGAGAAAAAAACAATTTTTGATAAAGGAAACAAGCGTAAATTGCTACAATTTGATGAACTTATACTTATGGATGTAGTAGCTCAAAATACCAACTGAGAGGGAAGGAGTTTTCACATCAAGGATCAAACCTAGTCCCTCTGTATACAGGGTTGACAGGGACAGGAAACCTAGACATTGGCTACCTAAAATGGGTGGGAGGAGGGGGCCTATAAAGACATGAAGTGGCTTTCTTACAAGTTTTCAAGAGGGAGTTTAGTTTCAGAGTGTGTGGGGGAAGGTAGAGTCCCCACTGAATAGTTTTCATCTTGTCTAGGTGAGTCTGTTGAAGGGAGATGGGGATAAGATTCTTAAGATTCAATACTGAGTAACTGTTATCATGAGTAATTGCAACGATCACAACTCTAAAGGTCAAAGTTCTGTAACAAAAAGGGGGGAGTAGTTAATTTTACCGTCCAGGAACAGAGGCTCCTGGGACCGTCAAGGGAGAAGAACATGAGTGGAATGTGGGTCCCTATCCAGAGAAGCAGTCAACCAGAGATGGAGGCAGAGATGAGGACATGGAGAGAGAGAGGAGCTGAGGACTCTAGACTCATAGAAAGAGAAAGATTGAGTGCTGACAGCCAAGAGGTAGGCTTGCAGTATGCACCCTTTGGTTGTTTAAATTATTATATATTCCTGAGTGTTTTTGTGTTGTTGTTGTTAAGTGCTGCCGAGTCAGTTCTGACCCATAGTGACCCTGTACAGGGTTTCCGAGGCTGTAAATCTTTACGGGAGCAGAAAGCCTCACCTTTCTTCCACGGAGCAGCTGGTAGTTTTTGAACTGCTGACCTTAAGGCTTGCAGTTCAATTCATAACCACTATGCTACCAGAGCTCCATCCCCTAAAAAACAAACAAAACAAAACAAAGGGAATAGAAGTAAATACTGTAGAATGATGATGCACAGAGGGGATTGTAATCATTGCAGTGAAACGATGAGTGTAAAATTGATGTGCTCTCATGTAAATTATCACTCCATTCACAATTAAAACAAACCCCAATCAGATATAAAGGAGTAGGTGTAAACACAGATGAACAAGTTTAAAGTCAATGTTGAAAACTGGCAGCACAACTTAAAATACGTCTACTTTGTTGGTTTTATGAGGGAAAGAAAGCATCAAGGTCAAGCCTGGGATTCTCCTATGGAGAAAAATTACATTAGAAGGAATGTGAAAATGAATGATAAATAGAAAAAGGCAAGGAACTAGATTATAAATGCCTTCAATAAGCAAACTGGCACACATCTGAATACTTATCATTTATGTAAACAATGAAATACCAAAATGACCAGAACATGAGATCTTTTGAAAAAACTGACCATTTCTTAAATAACTGCTAATTTTGACTTTTAATAAAGTTTTGAAAGGAAAGAGAAAGGTCCTTAGATCACAGAGCATTTACTCTGTGTAATTACACAGAGTAATTACTCAAAATTAATTAGTCTTAGTAGTGTGTTGTCAGCAGTATGATTATTTACGTGTGGAGAAGGGTGCCTCACAGGCAAAAGAAATAATGAGCATTGATATCAATCAATATTAATATAGAGACCTGGTGGAACGCTCGCTGTAGGATAAGCACTAGACTGGTAACTACACGATCAGCAGTTCTAATCCACCAGCTACTATTGGAAACCCTAAACAGGGTTGCCATGAATTGGAACTGAGTTGATGGCACTGAACAACATCAGAAACATTAACATAAATAACATTTCCAGAAATAGAAATGTTGCCCCTCACTACAGTCTACATTGTATTCTTGGCATAGCGCTGAAGGATAAATTCTAGACAAAGTCCATGGTTCAAAACTCACCAGCCGCTCCTCAGAAACCCTATACAGGGTCACTGTGAGTTGGAACTGACTTGGTGGCACTTAACAATGATAATATACATAATTTAATATTTTGTTTTTGTTATGTGCTGTTTAGTCAATTTTTACGTAAAAGCATTCCCATGTAACAGAGGAGAATTGTCCCCTAAGATTTGTTAGGCTGTAATTTTTATGGGAGCAGATTGCCAGGTCTTTCTCCATGGAGCCTCTGGGTGGCTTCAAACTGCCAAACTTTTAGTTAGCAGCTTAATCGCTGTGCTACCAGGGCTCCTTCATAATTCACTACTAAAGTGTCCAGTTCTGGATGTTACATGAAGCATATTGACAAAGTCTCGGTAGAAATGCAGCTTTCTGTTTCCACAAAGATTTACAGCCTCAAAAATCCTATTTAGGGTTGCTATGAGTCAGAAACAACTCGGTTGCACTTAACAAACAACAACAACACACTGACAAATTACAACTCTGGCTATAAAAAATCTGAAAGAGAATGTTACAAGGAGAAATGAATAGACTTAAAGTGTGTAATTCAAGTGAACATATGAAATTCTTCTGGGGGGGTCACAGACCACTTTGAGTATAATCAAAGCTATAAACATT